TTGGCTGTTATGGCTCATTAATAATTGGCCATTGGTACTGGCCCAAAAAATCTTTATCAGTGCACCCATACTAAAGCCTGCTATTATGGGCACCATATCATCATTCATCACTCAGTTTATTTGTACTCGGCCAAATGCTGAAGTCCAGTGTAATGTAACATAACATGGTATTATAATACTGTAATTACCTTCTTTACATATATGTGGTTTATTTTCTTTTTCAGGGTGTATTGCCCTCCCAACTGTATGCAGGCAAATCCACACTATGCTCGTGTCATTGGAACACGAATTTATTCTGATGTAAGTATTGTGATATAGACAAATACATTGATGCATATGGGTTGTGGAATTGTATTTCACAGTATACAGTGAAATATAAAAATTGGTGGCAGGATTTAATGTATTTTGGCAATCCAGAAGATCAAGACAGTTAGTTATTTGGTGCCTAAGTAAAGATGTAGATGCCTTTATTCTAGATGTTTACATTTGAAAATTTGTTAACATGGGCAAGGAATGCAGGTAAAACTCTTAATAATCCTTTTCAGATACAACCATGCCATTTTCTAGAATCCAGTGAAACTAAAAACAGTATGTTACTTTAAAAATAAATCTATTGCATCCCATTACTTTGGCTATTTCTTTGTGATAAACAGTCATATTTTTGCTGCCATCTAAAATATATATGTATAAGTAAGACTTTATTATAGGAGTGATATAAAGCTTTTTTATTGAAAGCATTTCATTTTCTGTTTATAAAGAAGACTTGAAAGAATGAAAAATAATCTGTTTTCCTATCGGCTATTTTTTCCCAATGCAGATACAGTAAATATACATTGTTATTAGAGAACTGGCTGTGAGCACCAGGATGATGACAGTATTCTTTCTTAAGGCTTTTTAAAAGAATATTTGAGTCATTTTTTAAACACGGAGAACAAAAATTATAACTCTCCACATTGCTCCCTTTCTTTCTTTCTCTCTGCCAAACCATATGCATGCATGATTTTGGGTAGAATTTCCCCATAAAAGGCAGAGCCCAGGACATCTCTTCTTTGGCTATTGTTCCAGGTCTTGCCACTGTAGTGTTCTAGGTCACAACATCTGTATCAGTTGGTTTCCCCTCTTCCTTCTCCAGTTACCCGCTTTACTTAGCTCTTCTCAACAGCAGGATATCTGGAACTGGCAGGTATCCTACCCTTCTCTGTGCTCAGCTTGTTCACATGATTGTTCACTCTGCGTTCATACACCATCGTTTGCAGATCCAGATCATGCTCTTTTGGGGTTGTGATAGTGATGATATGGCAGGCACAAGAGGATCTCCCTTCTTTGTGTGGAAAGAGTTGGGATATTTCTATGGTAGTATTGTTCTGGACCTGGTGATAAGACCTATGAATGGGATGATACCATATTCTACTTAGATTTAAGGTTTGAGTCAAATCTATGATGTACAACATTCATGAATTCTCTAGGAGTTTCTTAGAGACACCCTGGTTATTATTAAATATTATGATAATGTCTAAAGTCCTTGGTGAGAATTGGGGCCCAACAATGCAGGATGCTATGCAAACATAGAAGAGGCTGTTCCCTAAAAGTCTTACAGGTTAAGACACAAAGAAATTATGAGTAGAACATGGGGATACAACATATAAGCAAATGAACCCAGTACAACTATGTTGTAGAGAGTAGATGTTCAGAGGAAGGGAACAAAAAAATGAAAGATGGGGAAGAGCCTATATGCTAAGAAATAGGAAGACCCTCCAGAAGCATGTATGTGCCTATTTTGGAGCAGCATTTCCAGTAAGGGTACATCTGACCCTACTGCTAGAATGCTCTTGGGGCTAGGGACAGAAGTTTCACATAAATCAGCATAAGTGATCAGACACTCATTCATATTTGTAACACAACAGAAGTTCAGAGCACATAAACCACTTTCAAAGTGGCCAAAACTCGTTTAAGTTAAACCTGGATGGATGTAGTATCAGACTTAACTGATTTATATTTAATCAGTTTATTGAAGTTCTGTCCCAGATCCTCTTCAGATTCAAGTTAACTTGCAGTTCCCCAGCATCCCAGGATGCTTGGTATCTCTCCTGCCCCCCACTCCCCTTGCAGGGTGGGCAGGCTAGCTTTGGCCCAAGCTGTCTGCTCCAGGGGAGCAGGGAGACATGCTCTAATGCCTGCCTAGGCTACTGCCGGCACGTGGCTACATTTCAGGAATCAAAAGTGAATGCCTATTCACTTGCTTATCGGTTCAATTTATGTTGCTTAGATTGACCTGCGAAGATTGAATCAATTCAGCCTTGGGCTTTTTGACTGTCTGTATTTAGCCAGGGTGGCCTCTGCAAGGAAATCTTCATGGTGACTTTTTCCACTTCAGTGTCATGGAATACATCAGGAGAAATCTGGGAGGTTTAGTGGCACTTACATTAAAGAACTGGGTGGAAACTAGATCAAAGGAAAAGACAACAAAGCAAACAAATGCTTTAAGAGATGGGGCCAATCAAATTTGAGAAGGTTCTTCAAAAAGGCTTATCTACCTAAACCAGCCTTGTAGTTATTTGCCTAGAAAAAGCCAAGACATTCCAAAGGGCCTTGTTACATGCTAATTTTGGGTGACTTCTGGAGCTCTTACCCTTTGAATTGTCTGAACATTAACACCTGAAATGGATTTTAAGCACTCATTATTTGATTCAAAGACAGGCCACTCCAGGGCAGGATTATCTCTGATCTGTGCTACCCAGCTCATGTTACTTTAAGGTGTAGGCACTCTAGGCTACACCTTAGTATAAACCTTATCCCTCTGCCTCCCCTCCCCTACTGGTCTGGATTGGGCCTACTGATCCCCCTTCCTTCCCCAGCACCCCAGATCCCTGCTTACTGCCCTCTGCCCCACTTAGTTGTGGCTGCCTGCACTGTCTGTCCCAGGAAGCAGGCAGGGAAGGGTTAACCTGCCTGCATGGCTGCTGCCACTGCTGCTAGGACAGACAGCAGCTCAGCAGCAGCAGGGACTGGGAGAGCCCCAGCAGTGGGAGGAACTGGGGGAAACCCAGGTGGGATGGCAGGGGGAAGGGGGGAAGGCCAAGGGTATCCTTACCTTTCAGTTCTCCAGTCCCCCGCTGGCCTGAAGTGTGACTGCTCCAAACTTGAACTAGCACTAATACTGACCAGCATTTGTACATCTTGCAGTATAAGGTGTAACAAGGCCCTAACAGTGTGAGTTTTTACACATGATTAGTCTTTGTAGTTCACTTTTTAGTTGTGTAAAAATATATGGGAACTGTCCATCACTTGAGTTTTTAGTGTCTTAAATTGAGCAACCTTTTGACTTTATAATAAACTAGATTTTTTTCTAAAATGTCTATATATCTGTTGCAAAATCATTGGATGTTGTTGTTGTGGCAGGATGCTGCTGCCCTGAATTGCATTATTTTAGTGTAGCATGTGTGTGTCTACACAACATGCTTTCCTGCACGGTAGAACAAAGTACTGCATAGCAAGTATCACGATCTACACCTGCATACCCTTACTGCACCTTATTGCTCTACATGGTAATTAATTTGCTACCTGTAAATGCAAGCAGCAAATTAGCTGCTGAGTAATTACAGTGCAGTAAGGCATGTGTAGATGGCCAAATAGGAACAAATTTGCTCCTGATCAGCCAGGCAGCAGGGGGCAGGAAATTGCCCCCTGCCCCCATGAGCTGCCTGCTGCTGGGGTGGGCTCTTCTACCATATCCTGGGCAGCGACAATGTCCCCCTGCCCTGGCAACAGGGAGCTCCCAGCCCCTGCTCCACAATCGGGGAGCTCCCTGCTGCTGGGGCAGGGGGATATTATTCCCTCCCGGGCTTTGGTGATGGAGCCTGCCATGGCAACAGGCAGCTCTCAGGGCAGGGACAATCTTTCAGTCTCCACTCTGCAATCATCTACATTAGATGCTGACTGCATAGTAGCTGAAAAATACTGTGCAGTAGTGTGTTGCAGCATGGACAGTGCTAATACACTGCACAGTATTATTAGGCTATTGTACAGTAGTGTCACCTAGATGTTCGCTGGCACTACTGTGCAGTAATTCCAGCCAGTGTGCATTTATTTAGTACTTGCTAATACAAGTACTAAATAAATGCTAATACAGGTACTAAATAAATATGCAGTAACAACTGCTTAGTAGTGTCTTGCATAGATATGTCTACTAAGTCCCATTGAATTACTAAGGTGTCTGCTTGCAGAACTAGGGTCTTAATGTGTGTCCAAAGGTTGAATGTAAAAGCATGTAAAAGTAAGTATTTCTTGAGAAAGGAGATTACCATCAGCTGCTGGGTATCAGTCTGAAGCCACAGCCCTGAGCTCAAGATGAGCCCCAAATGAGGCTGAGGCAGTGGTGATGGCTTACCTGGGATAATGTGTCCATTTCTGGGCTCACACTTCAAGAA